TTGAAATTTACATTTTCATACATCTTTAAATGCTTATACAATGACATCGAATTTTAATTGATTTACATATAATGTATGAAATTCTATTTTATAATTTCTGTAATAACTAAATTCCAAATTCATAGCAAATATAATATTTTTTTATCAATGATAAACCTATCGATTAATTATATCAATTCGGGTTGAATTGTATTAGTTTTTGTTAGGTATGGCTCATAAATATACTAGTAAAGAGGACAGGAGATGAGGAAGATTGGGAAGAATTGCAGCAGCGAGCGGCAGGAACCATACGATTATGCTTGGCGGACGAGGTCATGTATCACGTCATGCATCTATCGTCTCCAGACGAAATTTGGAGGAAGTTGGAAAGTCAGTTTATGTCCAAATCCTTAACGACAAAACTGTATCTGAAGCAGCGGCTGTATGGGCTGAAGATGCAGGACGATCACGATTTGGCGCAACACGTGAATGTCTTCAATCAAATCGTTTCTGATCTGGCTCGGCTTGATGTGAAAATTGAGGATGAAGACAGAGCGATGATTCTGTTGTGTTCGTTGCCTTCCTCTTACGAACACATGGTGACTACTCTTACATATGGGAAAGAGACTATCAACGTTGAGGAGATTACTGCAGCCTTGTTGGCTCACAACCAGCGGAAGCAGAATGCAGGGGAAAGCTCTCAAGCCGATAGCTTATATGTCAAGGGTAATCGAGATCGTGGACGGAAGCCAGAGAAGGCAGGGTCCGGGAAGCGGAATTCCAGATCCAAATCCAGGGATAAGAAGACGATTCACTGTTACAAGTGCAAGGAGGCGGGACATATGAAGCGAGACTGTCCGAAGTTGAAAAAGCAGACTGATGAGAAGCGTGATGGCTCATCCAAGTCTGTGAACGTGGTCGAGGATGATACTTCTGATTACAGTGAGGGTGATATGCTTTCTATTTCAACGACACAATTGACGGATGCTTGGATTCTTGATTCGGGATGTTCTTATCACATCACGCCAAATAGGGAATGGTTTTCGACATACAGGCCGGTTAATTCTGGTTCGGTTTATTTGGGTGATGATCGATGTTGCAATATTGTTGGTATTGGTGATGTCAGAATTAAGATGCACGATGGCTCCGTTCGGACGTTGAGTGGTGTTCGACATATCCCAGACTTGAAGAAGAATTTGATTTCCTTGGGCACTTTGCACAAGAATGGTTTTATCCCTAAGGCTGACAAGGATAGGGAAACCATTCGAATTATTAAAGGAGCATTGACTGTGATGAAAGGCAAGATGACTGCAGGGAATATCTACAGATTGTTAGGGAGTACCGTTGCAGGTGGAGTTCACTCTGTTGAGTCCTGTGATGATACGACAAAATTGTGGCATATGCGCCTTGCTCATCTTAGTGAACGTGGTATGGCAGAATTACACAAGAGAAACTTGTTGCATGGTGTCAAAAGATGTAAGCTCGATTTTTGCAAGTATTGTGTTCTTGGTAAACAGACTAAAGTCCGTTTCAAGACTGCGAAGCACACAACTCAAGGGATTCTTGATTATGTGCATTCTGATGTATGGGGGCATTCCACGACATCGTCTTTGGGTGGATCTAGGTACTATGTTACTTTTATTGATGATTTTTCACGGAAAGTTTGTATTTTTTGAAATAGAAATCTGAAGTTTTTGAGAAGTTCAAGCTGTGGAAAGCTGAGGTAGAAAACCAAACAGGACGAAAAATCAAGTGTTTGCGGTCTGACAATGGTACGGAGTACACAGATTCACAGTTCCTACAATTCTGTAAGGAGCATGGGATTCAGAGGCATTTTACAGTGCGCAAGACACCACAACAGAATGGTGTTGCGGAACGAATGAACAGGTCGTTGAATGAAAGAGCCAGATGTTTGCGGTTGAATGCGGGGCTTCCCAAACACTTCTGGGCTGAGGCTGTTAACATGGCGTGTTACCTTATCAACAGATCGCCAAGGGCATCACTGGCTGGGAAAGTTGCAGAAGAGGTATGGACTGGTCATGATGTTAGTTTTGATAACTTACGGATTTTTGGTTGTCCTGCTTATGTGCATGTACCTGCTGATGAGAGATCCAAACTTGATGCAAAATCGAAGGAGTGCATTTTTCTGGGTTACAAGAAAGGTGTCAAAGGATTCAAGTTCTGGGATCCAGTTGCGAAGAAAGTTGTGATTAGTAGAGATGTCGTTTTTGATGAACAGTCTATGTTGCAGCAGAAGCAAGACACGACAGTGGTAGATTTCGAGCAGTTTCCAGTTGAGAAACCAGAAACTTCTCAACCGACTTCTGGTGGTTCCACTACGGATGATTTGCAGGATTATAGTCTCGCCAGAGACAGGGTGAGACGGACGAATATAAAGCCTCCGAACAGATTGGGTTTTGAAGACTTGGTATCTTTTGCACTTACTGTTAGCAGTGATGATCCAGTTACTTTTCATGATGCCGTTACTAGTCAGGAAAACGACAAGTGGATGGCAGCCATGGTTGAGGAGATGGAGTCTTTGAATCACAATCGCACATGGGAGTTAGTTCCCCTTCCTGAGGGTAAGAAGCCGATTGGTTGCAAATGGGTGTATAAGAAGAAACCAACAGTAACAGAAAAGAGGGGGAGAAGTTCAAGGCTCGTTTGGTAGCGAAGGGTTTTTCACAGCAGAAAGGAGTTGATTATGATGAAATATTTTCTCCTGTGGTCAGGCACACTTCAATCCGAGCAGTACTTGCATTGGTGGCTAGTTGGGATTTGCATTTAGAGCAGATGAATGTTAAAACTGCTTTTTTGCATGGTGATTTAGAGGAGCAGATCTACATGCGGCAACCTGAAGGTTTCACTCAACCTGAAAACGAGCATTTAGTTTGCAGATTGAAGAAATCTTTGTACGGGTTAAAACAGTCTCCGAGACAGTGGTATAAACGGTTTGACTCCTATATGATCAAGATTGGCTACAACCGATGTGAGTATGATTGTTGTGTCTATGTTAAGAGCATTGATGATGGTTCTTTTATTTTTCTATTACTGTATGTTGATGATATGTTGATTGCTGCGAAGAACATGGATGATGTTATCGGTTTGAAAACTTTATTGAGTCAGGAATTTGATATGAAAGATTTAGGTGCTGCAAAGAAAATTCTTGGAATGGAAATTTGCAGGGACAGAGACTCAAGGAAACTGCGGCTATCTCAACGGGGTTATGTTGAGAAAATGCTAGAAAGGTTTGCGATGAGCAGCGCGAAACCAGTTAGCACTCCATTGGCGAATCACTTTAAGCTCTCATCAGAACAGTGCCCTAAGACAGATAAGGAAGCTGAAAATATGGCAAAGGTTCCGTATTCTAATGCTGTTGGCTGCTTGATGTATGCGATGGTATGTACTCGTCCTGATTTAGCTCATGCTGTTAGTCAAGTTTGTAAGTACATGTCTAAACCTGGTAAGCAACATTGGGATGCAGTCAAGTGGATCTTTCGGTACTTAAAGGGTACTGTGGGACATGGAATTGTTTTTGGGAGTCAGCGGGATAATCCTTTGGTTGTAGGATATGTGGATTCAGATTATGCAGGTGACTTGGATAATAGAAGATCTACGACAGGGTATGTGTTTACTCTTGGTGGAGGGCCTATTTGCTGGAAGTCTACTGTTCAATCTGTCGTGGCACTATCTACAACTGAAGCTGAATACATGGCAGCGGCTGAAGCTGCAAAAGAAGCTTTATGGCTTACTGGTTTAGTGAAGGAGTTGGGTGTTCAACAAGGTGGAGTTCAGTTGCTTTGTGATAATCAAAGTGCTATTCACTTGGCTAAGAATCAGGTGTATCGTGCTAGAACTAAACATATTGATGTAAGGTTCCACAAGATCAGAGAGTTGGTTGCATTTGGAGAGGTTTTGTTTCAGAAGGTACATACTGATGAGAATGCCGCTGATATGTTCACCAAGCCAGTTACGACAGACAAGTTCAAGCATTGCTTGGACTTGTTGAATGTTTCGAGTTGTTAAAGAAGCAAGGTAACCCAACCCACATTGAAGTTTCCAAGGGGCAGGATATTCGCCAAGGTGGAGATTTGTTAGGTATGGCTCATAAATATACCAGTAAAGAGGATAGGAGATGGAGCGAACATTAACTGTCCTTACAAAGAAAGTCTCGTTGTGGGGTTACAAATTATGTGGGTTGGGGGTGCGGGGGCGTAGCCCCCACGGTACGGTACAGGGTTGATTTTGTAATTATGTACCAGGGTTTTCTATTATAAATAGAGATGTAACCTAGACCTAAAACATTTTTTTGAATAAAATTCTAGCGCCGCCTAGGCACCGAGGACGTAAGCACATTGCCGAACCTCGTAAAATTCTCGTGTTCTTTCGTTTTCTTTACCCGTTTTCGTCAACAGTTTTGTTTCAATTTACCTTTTATTCATATTATTTTAGGTTTTAAAATTATTTGGTTAGTGGTAAATCAAGTTAGAATTAGGTTGAGTGACTTCTAGAAAGTTTATTTTAGTTTAGTTTAATCAAAAATTAAATATTCAAATTATATCTTTTATTAACTTTATTTGTTTTATTTTTTCTATCAAGATACTTAATGAGTTAACGTTTTCATCGTTACCATTTTAAGGTCAATTTTGTTACGATTATAAAAAAATCTATCAACCACTCAAAACATGACATGTCGTGTTTATACTTTTTTGAAAATTTTATTTATAAAATTTTTTGATAATAGTTGTTTTAGATAAATTTTGAGTTTTTTAAAATAATACTTTTAAGTTTTTATAAATAAAATTTTCAAAAAAGTATAAACACGACACGTCCATGTTGGTATCTCTTCAAAATAGTAATTACAAGATAGTATCTCTTCAAAATCTCTTAACATCAATTGACAATGAACACTTATATCCATGTTGGTGCTCGAACCCATGACCTTTGGGGAGAATTACAAGTCTGTTAACCATTAAAGTCGGTTGGTTTGTGCTGAACATGTAATATGCAATCCTGTAAAATCTGGCAATGATCTAGCTCCGATTTTCATTTCAAATTGGTCCTTGGATATTTTATCAACAGAAACACGCATTGATTTATGATGATACAAATACATAATGATAAAAAAAAGATGCATACGCCCCATCGATTAGCTATGGGTGATGTTGGGTCCTTCCTACTTTATTTACAGCATCTCACGGTCTGCAAATCAAATGGAATCCTTCAGTCCCTCAACACACCTAACAGCTACTGGACTCCTCACACGATGAACTCCGTCGAACCACTCAATCGATCCGGATGCTGAACCAACAGCAGACAAGGACAAGCCATTGCTTGCAAATGTGACCTCGTAGCTCAGCTTTTGGTTTTCATCGCTGAATTTGAGCTTACTAGGCGAAACACTGATTTCAACACCTGGCGGAGCATTCACTTTAGCTTCATAAATTGCATCAGATGAAGTTCCGACGTTCTTCACCATCCTCTTATATTTAACTAGGTGATTATTAGAATCAAAAACAACAGAGAATGATGGGTAATTGAGGTCGCCCGGAGTAGCCAATTTCCCTTCGCACATATCTGTTCCAGTAGGACCCCTGACAAAAACTGCAATCCGGTTCAAGTCATAACCAATGGAGCAAAGGAATGCAACGTATTCGTTATCCTCGATATCATATACCAATCCAGGGTCAAGAGCTCGGTTGGGATTGACATGGCCGGCTCCATGAACAAAAGGTGATGATTCTTCCCCGGTTGCAAGATCCTTAATGGTACTTCCCGAGTTATCTAAAGTGTTAGCGGTTGTCATCAAGGCGGATTTAATGGCAGCGGGTGACCAATTGGGGTATGCCTTTTTAAGCAGAGCAGCCAGTCCACTAACATGAGGACATGACATTGAAGTACCTGAAATTATGTTAAAATCAACTCTTCTTGGATCGATGTCCAAATCCGTTGGTGCAGCTAAACCAGTCCATCCAGCCAAGATATTAACTCCCGGAGCAATGACATCTGGTTTGAGAATCTCCGGTGTCAAATGGTTCGGACCACGGCTTGAAAACGCGGCAACCTTTGGAGCTGGTGGTGAAGGGCCAATCACCGTTCCACGGAACAAAATTGTAGCCGTTGGAAACTGACTCCTTTTGACGTACTCCCGGATCTTATCACCAGCTATCTGGCCAACTTCGGTGGCGGCAATGAGATGAGCATCAGCTAGGAGTTCTTCACCACTCTCAGCAGTGTTTGCCAGTATCATTCCTAGCGCACCAGCATACTTCACTGCAGCTCCTTTTTCAACTCTAGCATTCCCTCCCCTGTCACAAACAACGATTTTGCCTTGAACCTTCGATGGACTTATACTCCCCATATAACAATACCTGTTTCCAACATCACCAGCATAAACCAAACGAAGCTTGTAATCAGGTAAAGGGGGGCCAGAGTACAGTGAAACCCCGCCAAAAGTCCTGCCATCACCGAGAACCACATCGGCTGGAAACTCCCGGTCGATCGTGGAAGCACCAACCGTTAGAATCCAAGGCGCAATGTTAGCAGCAGTGTACGGACCAGGACCGGAATTCCCAGCAGAACATGAAACAACAATACCATGACTCGCAGCACCAAAAGACCCGATTGCTATGGAATCATGGTCATATTGAGGGGCATATCCACTGGCTCCCACGGATAAAGAAATCACATCGACTCCGTCCGCAGTTGCTTGGTCCATTGCCGCGAGTATATCGGAATCGAAACAACCCAAGCTCCAACAAATCTTATAAGCAGCAATCCTAGCTTTTGCAGCCATACCACGAGCCTCCCCGCGTGCGAATCCGAAAAGGCTGATGTTAGAGACCACAGATCCAGCAGCAGTTGAAGCAGTATGCGTGCCGTGGCCTTCAGTATCCCGTGGAGACTTGGATTCTTTTGTTTCATCCACTGGACGTCCAAGATAAGACTCGTAGCCTTTGAGAAAGGCTCTTGCACCAATTATTTTCCGGTTACAGGATGAAGCAGGAAAATCAGGTCCCGTTTCACATATACCTTTCCAGGTATCGGGAACAGGGGACAGCCCATAATCGGAAAAACTGGGGCGTTCCGGCCATATTCCGGTATCCAAAACTCCGATTATAACACCATCGCCGTAATAAGAGTTTTGCCAAAGGCCAACACCTTCGGAAAGGCCTAAAAATTGCGGGGTATGAGTAGTGTGAATCTGACGAACCTGGTCGGGAACCACAGAAAGGATTCCGGGAAGTCCCCTAAGCTTATCTGCCTGATCATCCGTGAGACGAGCGGAAAATCCATTGATGACGAGTTCATAGGTGTAGAGGGGCTGGATGGGGTGAGGGGAAGGAGGGAGAGAATGGAGGATGGAAGAGTACCAGTGATGGTGAGAGGAGAAAAGGGCAGGCTTGTGTGATTTTGAGACGTGGATGATGAAGTTTTCAGGAGGGTGGGATGATAATGAGTATGAGGAAGGGACGGAAAGGAGAGGAAGGAAGAAGAAGAAGAAGAAGAAGAAGAAAGAAAGAGCCATGGAGATTGGTGTGAGTTAATTCTGTTACAGGGAAATTGGAGGCGACAATTGTTAGGGTAACCCGGTTCAGCCTAGAAGGACAGAACAAGTAGGATGTAGAAGGAAATTGCGTCTAGGGTCATATACTAGTACACGTTGCTATCCGACACACATCATGAAAAACTATCGTACTTATATATATTTATTTAAAATAAAAAATAGAGTTTATTTCGTGTAAGACTTGGGTTTCAAAAGTATTGGCTACCATTTTCTGCTGGGTCCTTATTGCCTCCAAAATCCGAAAGTGAGTTTGAGATTTGAGATGGATAATGATAATATTAAAATTATGGTTGTGGAGAGAATGAAGGTTCGGGTGAGGCAATTTGTCGAGATGTTAGGCATAGTTGTTTGGCTCTAATCATGCAAATATCTAAGGATGATGGATGGTCAGTCACTGGATCATAATTATGCTGATTTTTGTTAAAGGTGATTTGAATTGTGGTTACAGACTGACCACTACATCACATCTCTGGGGTTGCTTTTGTTGGACCAAAGTAACAGTGGTTCGCAGCTCCCATCCATACCCGCAACTTGCAACTTGTATGGAACGGTTAATATTACGCTGGAATATGGGACTCCATTCCCAAAGAATAGAAACCAACAAATTTTGCAGTTGGATTCACTCACAAAACATTACAAAGCTTATTGTACAAAACTAACATAAATAAGCCTTAAGCTGAGTTTTAAACACTTCAATTCCACTATATTGACATATTTTCAGGGATTCATGTTATTCATCTTGCATCTCTGTGTAGATTCATAGTTTACCATTTATGACTTTTTTTTTTACAAATGAAAGGAATGATAGTAGCTTATGGAAACGATACATGGTCAAACTTGGTACCATTATTTGAGTTTTGTTGTATGTGCACTAAACACTAGAAGGTAAATTTAAAGATGTTTTTAAATTTTTTAAGCCTTCCACTTCGACTGTATTCTCTCTACCTTTCTTTCCAAATATTACTTATTAATTTTAATGTATCAAATCAGTCTCAACAACAATTAACTACATGGTGTCCATTTTATAATAAAATAATGATTTGATGACGATTTTAAACTTTATTATTAAATACCGGGAAGAGCTCATCTTCTCAACAAAGGATAAATACCGGGAAGAGCTCATCTTCTCAACAAAGGATAAATACCGGGAAGAGCTCATTTTATAAAGCTAGTTGAAGTACAATCTTGCCTCTTCCCTCTTCCCTCATAAATCATTTGACTGTTTTTTCAAGTATAAGGACGGGCAGCATGAACATTAAACATGCTTGGTTCGAAAGAAAGGATACAGAGAATACAGTGGAAGTGGAAGGCAGAGTTTTCACAGCAAATACTGAAGGCCTTTCATAGTGTCCAAGATACAACAATGGATTTTCTATGACATAGAATATGTTGATATAAACGATCCTCCTAATTACAACCAAAACATGAATCAACTTAAACCCTGAGTGATAGAAACCCCATAGCACTGCTCAGCCTGAGAAAAAGAAATATCACATAGAGCATTATAAGACCCACTCCTAAAATCTTGCCAGGGCGCATGTCATTCCGAGGCAAGACTACGAGTGCCCAGATTAGTCCTAACATGAGAAAGCCTATTGTATAGAACAAGCTGATATCCAGTGGAATCAAGTATGGAGAAGGACTCTTCGACCAAGCTCCGAGCAGCATTGAGATACCCAAACCGACAAGCGTGTTGAACATGGGACCAGCATAGCAGCCTGAAAAGGCAATCTGTACACCATCTTCCCCATTCATTGCTAGGGCAACATTCGACACCAAATCACCCATTGAATTGCCCCACGCCAGGATAGTTACTCCAAGAATGGATGGATTAATTCCAAAAATCACACCAAATGCTACCAATAGAGCAACAAGCTCATTAGCAATCATATAGAACCACACGATGCTCATAAGAAATCCACCAAATACCCAAGGAATTAAGAGCCTCTGGGGTGGATGATCAGATAAAGTATGCTGATATGCAAGAATACCAAGAGTGCAACTGACTGCAACACCAACACACCATGCAATCACTCGGCTGTTAGAGCCCACATCACATTGGCTGTTCCACAGAAAAGCCATCAGAATGGGAGCTAATGAAACGCTGGCTACAGCATATGGTTTTGACCATGATTCCTGCTCGACTAAAGGAATTGTTAGCCGCCTTGGAATTGTCAATGGCAGCTCCAGGAGCGAAATTAACTTGGAACATGAAAATGATGAGTCATTTGTTTCCGTAACCTTTTCTGTCCAACCCCATGGAGGCCTTTCTTCATCAGCTGAATTAAACTTCATGAAGTTGTTTGAATATATAGCCACATTTGAAGCCCACATCCACTGTGGCAGGGAATTAGGGAGTTGGGATGGATCATTTTCGGTGTCCATATCAAGCAGAGAACTATAAGCAAAAATGTCCTCTTCACTTCCTTGTAAAACTGGACTTCCTCGGACAGGAAGCAAAGGAGTAACAACATCCAGTTTCAACCCCCTTGCATGTTTCCTCAGAATCTCATTTGCAGCCACAGAAATTGCATAAATCACATATATCATGACAAATGCCATAGCACCAGTGACACTGACCTTACTAATTACCAATACGATCATAAGTGAAATGAGTGTAAAAAGGAAGAAACAAATATCTCTAATAAAGCATCTTTTATCGATCTGGATCCTCTTCTCCGCTACACAGAGGGAAACAATCCCTACAACAACACAAGTAACAAAAACTGCTCCACCCAACACACTATTAAGACCCACTTCACCCGTATCTGTCCCCAAAAATGCGGCAATACTCGCAAACACATCGGGCGCCCCATTTCCCAATGGAAGGAGTGCAACCCCAGCAACAGTTGGAGGCAACCTAAGCAGATGTGAAAGCTTCTCCAATGAACAGCAAAAGTAATCTGCTGCAGTGTTGCCCAGTAGATAAAACAAAGCAGCAAGCCAAAGAACCAATATAGCATAACCTGCTATCCTAAATTCTCCACAACTACAATAGAAAAACTTAATGTAATCAAAGAATCCATCCGAAGAACAATGCGAATTAGCTTTCAAGAACTCACATTGATTAGAAAAACCCTTGTGATCAAACAATCCAGAACACAAGCCAGGGTTGCTGGAGCTTCCATTCAAGACCTCCTGGGCATTCTTAACAGCTGAATTTGATGAAATCACATCAAGTTCACTAACTTTTCGATGAATTATACTAAAATGATCAAACCCATCAGTGAAACCAGTTCCCTGAGTCACGTGATTAATAAGCCGAGAAGATTGGCCTATATGAGGGTTCCTTGAGAAATCAGACCGGGTGTAGAATAAGAAAAATAGGATCAAAGCATATAACCCATTAAAAATTCCATGAACTTTGGGGTTTTTTGAAGTATAGAGACGATGATTCCTCGTTGAAGATCTCATTATCTAAGCTATTACCTGAAGCTATCCCAAAATTCCTAGAAAATGGAATTAGACTAGGGTTTTCAGCAAATGAGCAATGAAAACCCAGCCCTCGAATTAAGATAAATTGAATTATGGAATTGGGATACTTACCGATCACCAAAGCCGCAAAATTAATGATCTTCGAGGGGAAACATAAGCAGCAAAGATTGGGGTTTGAAATTCGAAGATTTAAACATAAAAGGAAATTTGACCGGGTTTATTGTTGTTGTTGTGTTGCTTCTTTCTTTCACGGCTTTACTTTCTTTTTGGGCTAGACAGGAGACGGCCTATGTGCAATTATACCCGTTGATTGCCGGGTTACCCATAAGGCTGATTCAATTAAGATTTTAATAAGAGTAAATTATGCAAATGGTCACTAAATTTTTAGTAAGTTTTTATTTTCCCACTAAATCTTTTAAAATGACAAACTAGTCACTAACATTATCAATTTGTAACAAATCGATCACTCGAACTTAACAACTTTTAATATGAGTGACAGAAAACTTACATGGCTTGCTAATTGCTTACCTGAACTGTTGACTAACATAATGGAACGTTAAAATGCTTGATCGCCTCGTAAAACTTTTATATTTTTCCCTCCTCAAACACAAACATACGAGTTAAACTAAGTGACCCAACAATATCACTAATCACTGTTAGGGATGACAATGGGTCCGGTTGTGTGAGTTTTTGGTCAATACGATTGGCCCGAAATATATATACCTTCCACTTGAACTTAATCACATCCGAAATATATATATACTATCTCCCGGTCCAACCTAAATTTTTAGAGTATAAATCCGACCGATCCAATTCAACCCAATATAAAATAAAGACCTAATAAAAAAAAACTAGAGAGAGGGGACTTCCAAGTTGGATTCTATTTAAAATATGCTGTATGGATTACTGCTTTGATTTCAGAAAATAATTAGCATACCATTCGTAATTTGATTGATGAAAATCCATCTTAAGTGGTAGAATAACTTTCTTTATGCAATTACATTTCTTTGACCAGCTTTATATTGGAATAAATCTTCAACACTTCGATTAACTATAAAAGATGTCCAAAAAATTTGTACCAGATAAAAAAAATTAACGTATTAAAGTCGATAATTGATTACACAACATATTGTTCATTCTAATAACATTTACGACTGACGATTGTTGCATGGACGTGTAACAAAAAATCAGACTTGTTATTATTCTCCACTTGTGTTCAACACAGGGCCCGCTGTATTTCCAAATTATATGAGAAATTTATCTATCCTCCCCATCAACTTCATTAACTATAACTTCATCTGAATGGATGTTTAAAAAATATTTTTATATTTCACCTTATTATACCTTTTATCAAAGTTTTAGAATTCTTTTCTCTTTTTGAATCATCATCCTTCAATATTTTTTTACGATAATATTATATAATGATAAATCTATTTTATCTTTTTCAATCATTTTATCGGTTTAGATTTTTTCAAAATCTCTTTAAGAGTCAAGAGATTTTAAAAAGAATCCATCATCTTTAAGGTTTGGGGATTTTCTCGCATACGATAGTTTTAGTGTCCTTATTTAAAAATCTGGATAAAAAATATTATTTAGAGAATATGACATACTTCAAAACTAACTCTATTAGACAACCATCGAAAGTGATTAAAGTATTAGCATGTTGATCATTTAGATAGATTTGCGTTATTTTCTATGAATATCATTGAAAATCAATCCAAGGAGAATAAAAAAATGAAATATGATTGTCTTCGTACCAATCTTTTCGTAAATGGTGATTAATTACGACGACAATCAAGGACGATTGAAAAGTTCAATGCCTAAAATTGATGCATCTTACAATTTAGTGGTAAAATCAACAAACAAATAGAAGAAATTATATAATCTATAAAATTGATATTTGAGCATTAACATATTCACACCAAAATGACATCATTTTAGTCATATTGACATAAATTATTGTTTACCACTTAATAATTAAGTGATGTAATTGAACTTAAAATTAAAATTTAGTGTTATAATCATATTGATTTATAATTTAATGATAAATTGATGAGTGTTCAGAATCGGTAGTATTTGCTCGTTAATTCTTCCATTTTATAGATTTATTGATGTTGATTTGGTTGTGTTATGCTTATTTTTGTGCAGGGTCTTACTTTCCATAATTAGTGATAAAACGGGTGCATTGTGCATTTGTTTTTATTATTTGGTCAAGGCTGGAGATATGGACACGAGTCTGGGCATGACACGGTTTGACATGGCAGTTTCTAGAAGGTTCAGTCAGCGGCAATTTGTAGAAGATCTAGTCAGCGCGCCTTCTGGAAGATGGACGAACTGAGTTGCATTAGGAGACTTGTTTAAAGTTTGAATTTAGGAAAAAACAATTATCTTTAGGATTATTTTATTTTAATTTCTTTGTTTATCTCTAGGTTTTTAGAGGCTATAAATACCCTTTTGGGGTAAGCTTAAAATCACAACTCGTATTACAATCTTCTTCTTCTTTCTAGTTTTTATTAAAGCTTTCTCTTTTATTTTATTTTTCAAGTTTCGTTTTTTCCTTTTTATTTTCAAACTTGTTTTTCAAATATGCTAATTATGACTTTTTTCATTCTTAGCTAATTTTCTCATAAGTCGAGAGCTGAAGTGATGACTCAATTCCAACGGGAGAATTGAAACAAACCCTTAATAACTTCAGAATATCTCTATCAATCTTTGCACTTATTTTTCAAAATCAAAGATTGAATTTGGTCAAGAGGTTGTTGCGATTAAATGTGTGGGATGAAGGATCGGCTTATTGAAAGCACATTCGACTTCCTGGGAACACACTTGGCGAGGAATTGAGATCGGAATTGATGGTTATTGAAGCAACAATCTGAGTTGGTTGCCACAAACTTAAACAGTAATTGATCTACGAAAATTGATGTTGATTAGATCAATTTCTGAAGTCGGAATCGAAGATTGTCTTGCGTTTTCGGTATACAAAATAGAGTCACGGGGATTGCCCTTGTAGACAAAGTAACCGACGTGAATCCCGAAGGAAAAATCTAATTCGATGATCTGAAGGAAATTTAGTCAAAGCGAGGTTTGAGGCTATTTTGACCATATTCAACTTTCAATGTTACACTCTTTTATTTTCACTTAAAATTACCTTTTATTTAATCTATTTTATTACTTAATTGCTTTTTACTAAAACCCTTTGTTTACTACATCACATCTGGCTTAAACAAACCAGACAGAAATTTATAATTTTCTAAGTCCCTGTGGAATCGACCCTTACTTCTCTTTACTATGTATTTCCTTATTTATCAATTGAGAAATGAAATTATTTTGACATCAAAACGATAATTGTCATAAATTTAATAAAAAGTTAAAATTTAGTGAGTATATAATATATGATATAATTTAGCTATAAATCATATATAAATTACCGCTAAACATACAAATAATATTGTGTGTATTTTTTAAAAAACAATTTCTACCTATGGACATGGAAAGATGAATTTTGCTTTTAATGAGCATCAAACCCACAATCTAAGAGAGGTGAAAAATATAAACTGAGAATTTTTAATCACTTATTCTAAAGACTATTGATACAATTACGTGTGTTTTAGATGTACAAAAAATAATAGAGAAAATAACCTCAATGACCAAAAATGCCTTATAATATACGAATTTAACCAACTTTTTTTGGATTTACCAAAATGACCAACAAATTCGCAACGCGAATTCCAATTTTGCAACCCAGTTTCCAATTTCGCAACGCGAATATGTAAATCGCATTGCGATTTTCCAAATTCGCAACGCGATAGTCAAATTCGCAATGCGATAGTCAAATTCGCAACGTGAAAGTCAAATTCGCAACTGAATTTCAAATTCGTAACTGAATTTCAACGAATTTAATTTCGCAACAGGTTTTAGTTTCGCAACACAAATGTTTTGGGTATATAACAACGCAGCAGCAACAACTCATAACCTAAATCCCTAAATCGTAACTCATTCCATCTCCATCTATCACTCTCTCCGGCGACATCCGTTCCTATATCCAACGACATCCTTCCCCATCTCTATTATTTTTACATAATTTTATTTCTATATAATTTTCAATGATTTCTTTCCCAAATTATCAACTATCAACTTAATAAAGGTATGGTTTTCTCTAAGTTAGCGATGATATCTAGTTTATAGCTTGTTTGTTTAGTAAATTAATTTACAATTTTTAGAATGAAATCATCTAATGTTGATCATGTTTGGATATATTTGTGTTTTGGAGGGTCATGGGAGAATGTTCATGGTGTTTTTCAATATGTGTCTTTACCCATGAATCTTCAACTAAAGTTGTCATTAAAAAAGTTAACTTATGAAACTCTAATGTTACGTGTTGCAAAGAAATTGAATTTAGAGCCTCTAAGTGGATTTAGGTTATCTTATCTGAGAAAAGGTAAAGCTTATTTGTTAACCAACAATGAAGATGTTGAACGATCCATTGCTTACATTAGTGTTTCGCAAAAAGATGAAGTTACATTGTATGTTGTTGAACCTAGAAGTAGTGAAGTTGGGTCAGTAGCGGGTAGTAATCAACTAAGTTCGTCAACCCAAAATTTAATGGTTCCACCACAATTCCATCACCAAGCAAATTTTGTTTCACCACATTTTCAATACCAAATACAATATCAAACACAATCTCAAAACCCACAACCTTTTCCTAATCCAAATCCCAATCAAATTTCATCACCAAATTCCAGTTTTCGTATTGACCAGTTAGACGATTATGAGCCAACAGAAAAAATTGTGAGTACTAGTCAGTATTCGAAATTTGATCTTGGTCAATACCCGGACTTTGATCTTGGTCAATACTCGGATTTTGATGATGTGATGGAAGAAGAAACAGACCATTCATGTAATGATTTTGATATTGGTCAATACCCGAATTTTGATGATGAAACAACCGCTGCCGAGGAAGATGTTGTTGATGATAATGAGGAGGAAGTTACGACTGTGAATGAACATGTTGAACATCCATTCTGTAATTTATATAACCCTGAAGAAGAAGAAGAAGTCCCCGAAGAAAAGAAAAAGAAAAAAATGCCACGGGAGTATAACTGGAATATGCCAGAATACTTCAGATACCGGAAGAAGAGTTGGTAAAGATATCAGCTGATTGTTACACAAAAGTTATTCGTATCAAGAAAGATGATTGTTTTGATACAAAGGAAGACTTGAAGATAGTTTTGTCT